TTCAAATATACCACTGAAAGCTTATCTCAAGGATTCCAAATACTTGAGATTCAAAAGGCAAGACATCAAAAATTCAGCTCTAGCTCATCTGAATGCTGAATCTAAGTTTTTGCAACTGCAAAAGAAGTCCACAAGTAATTATTTTCTTTTTACCTCTAAAAAAGTGAGCAAAAATATAGGATGTATTTTTCACTCTTTAGAAGATACATAGCTCTTCAATCTATCAATAAGGTTTTAACTCAACTTTACCTAAAGTTGAATTTTCTTAAAAAAAACCTATACTTTCTTTTTGTAGCAATGCTGTACATTTCAAAAAGAAAATTATTTTTACAAAGACAGATGAGACTCATGAAGTCCTAATTCCAAATCCCAATCATACTCATGTCATTTTTAAAAAGTACAATTTTGCATTTTCTAATATATACTGTATTACATATTATATACTCAGCCATCTTCTTTAAAATTATTATCAGTGTTTTTTTTAAATAGAGAACTCCCTCAATGACATAAATAACATGGTTACTCTATCATACTAAAGCTGTCATTTTATTTTTTCTCTTCAATCGGATTACCATCATTGGTCTGCTAATTGTCATTAGGAGAAATGGTGACATTCCCTCCCAGAACCTCATCAACCATCTCTATAGAGGCAAGATAAAAATCTATATAACACTATCACATTATGAGTCTGTTATGAAAACACTTCCTAATCAAACCCAGGAAAGTGATTACAGACTGAAGAACCCAACATAGGGGTATTAAAATGTAAAATATAGAATTTTAAGAAGAAAAAGACAGACTATCTTCCCAAGGTTAAGATGGTACTTGTCTTTACCCTTCTAGTATGTAATATAACTCCATATCAAGAAGACATGAGGGGGCTTCCCTGGTGGCGCAGTGGTTGAGAGTCCGCCTGCCAATGCAGGGGACACGTGGGCCCGTAAGCTATGGTCGCTGGGCCTGCGCGTCCGGAGCCTGTGCTCCGCAACGGGAGAGGCCACAGCGGTGAGAGGTCCGCATACCGCAAAAAAAAAAAAGAATGGAGGTGGATAAAAGGGAGTCTAGAAAATACTAATGAAGATGGGCTCTCCGATCAGACTAGCACCTATGTTATGTCATGGAAAAGAATGATCCATAGCGTCATTTATATAGACTGTGTGGGTAGGCACACACAGTGGGGCCGAGTTAATAGCTCTGGTCAAAAACTAACTTTGGACCCAAACCAAAAAGCTTACTTCATCAGAGATGAAAATGTGCTAAATTAAACAGCCTGGCCTTTGTCTGCAGAGTTATGTATAAATTATGCCTCCTCAATTTAATTGTAAGGTATCTGAGGGTAGAAACTAATAATGATAATGATAATTAAATAAGATGAAATACGCTGGACTGACAAGAAATACTAGGGCCCCCAGAGGAAGAGACTGTATATTTGAAAGGCAGCGTAATAACTGGGAGGCCTTGGGAAAAACTATTCAGAGCTCTGACTCTGCATCAAGCTTCCCAAGTAATAGGAAACCATATTTGTAATTACTTCAACTGATGATAGTTTATATGCCCAAATCCTCACTGTGCTATGAAACTAGTAGAATAATTAGACAGAACAAGGGAAAAGCACTTAATTTAACACTGAGGAATCAGAAAATGCTTCTCAGAAGAAGTAGCCCTAAACTAAGATCTTAAGGATTAACAGAGCTGGTAAGAGCAGAAGAAGGAAGTTCCCAGGCGGAGAGAATTACTTTTGCAAAGACCTAGTAGAAACAAACAAAACACAGCAAGTTCTAAAAACAAAATATTTCTGCATGTCTGGAGCATACAGTGTAAGAGAAGGAAGAGGATATGAGGGACGTGAGAGAAAGAAACAGGAGTAATTTCATAAACAGCCTTGAAGGTATGTTAAAAAGCTTGTTGTTACCCTAAGAACAATAATGGGGTTTACACAGAGGAACAATACAACAGATTTAACATTTTAGAAGGTCATTCTAGCTTCAATATGTTAAAAGGATTAGAACAGAGAAAGTTGGAGGTGGAAAAACCAGTTAAGATGCTACTGCAGATGACGGAAACAGCTGGTTTAAAGGTGAGAAAAAAATTCCAGAGGGAAATACCATTTAAAAGAGAAAACAGTGAAGAAGTAATATGCAGAGATAGTAAGAAGTTTCCAGAATTGATGAGTCACTAATCCTCAAACTCAGAAAACTCAACTTAACCCAGATAGGATTAAGAAAAAAAGCAAAAAGACTAAATCCCCACCTAAACATATACCAGAGAAACTACAAAGCATGAAAGATGACAAAACAATATTAAAAGTAGCCACAGAGAAAAGACAAAGGAACAAAAATTAGACTGATAACTTCTCAACAGCAACAATGGAAGCCAGAAGTCAATGGAATGCTATTTTTAAAAGAGCTGAGAAATTCCTAAACATATAAAGCAAAATGAAACATATCATCTCAACTATGCATACAGTAATAATGAGCATTTACAGCACCCAGATAGGAGTTTCTAAATACCACTGCCCACTAAACTGAAAGACTAAGGAGAAATTCATAAATATCATCAGAGGGAGATGTGACACAACTCTCTCATAACTAACTGAATAAGGAGGAAAAAAAATCAGTAAGAAACAGAAAATCTGAATACTGCAACTAACAATGTATGTGTGCATGCATGCACATGTGGGTCTGTGCACATGTGTATGCATTTCAGGCTGAAGTAACAAAATTATAAAGGTATGGCAGTCAAAAAGTATAGGATTGCTTCAGGGAAGAGAAGAGTGTGTGTAGTGGGTGATACCATTAAAAATACAGATTAGGGCAGTATTGGAGAGAACACTAAATGCAGAGGCAGGGATCATGCAATAACTGAATGTTGAGGTAATAAGGAAATTATGATGGTAGGATAAATGGAAAACAAGAAACAATATAAACTAGATTTACATTACTAAAATGGAAAGGTAAATTGTCAAATGATGAAAAACATTATACAGCATAATCCCTCTTTACTTAAAAAAAGTGTGTATATGTGTGCATGAATTTGTTTATAAAATAAAGTTGTATAAAGTGTAATGATACACATCAAACCATAAAAGTGACATTTTGAGGGTATGCAGAAAGAGGAGAAAGTCATTATTTTTGTTTAATCATGTTTTAGTTTTTGACTGTTTTTCTTTTTTATAGTATACTTACATCATTTTTATAATATAAATAGTGTATAAGATGAAAGATTAAAAACACAAAATAACTTCCTAGGGTAGAGGCTATAGATTAACTCTGCTAGTTTTTTGTAGCTGTTAATTAGCATTTCAAATACCAACAAGCTAGCTAATCTACTTCTATTACCTGACAGATATCAGGATACTCTTACCAGTATTTGAGAGACTCTGTGAAAAGAAACTTTTGGAAAATGAATTTCCTAATATTCATCAGAAATGAATAGTATGCTAAACACATCATCTGTGGCAATTTTACCTTGATGATTTTTTTAAATTATAAAAGTTAACACAGGGAGATGCAAGAGGGAGGAGACATGGGGATATATGTATATGTATAGCTGATTCACTTTGTTATATAGCAGAAACACACCATTGTAAAGCAATTATACTCCAATAAAGATGTTTAAAAAAAAGGTTAACACATACTTGTTACAATTTATCCAACAGAGAGGTTATAAGAAAAAGACAATTTTATCCCCATGTCTCATCTAATTTCTTTAGGGTAACCAGTGTTAATTTAATATATATACCTACAAATCATTTTCAGATCTTGGTTTTTGTTTGTTTCCATAAAAAGAATTATTTACACGTTACTTTGCATCTTGCTACTTATTCATCAGGACAATTTTTAGATATATTTACCAACAAGTGCAAAAGCACACTTTTTTTAGTAATCTAAATGAAATATTTTCGTTCAGTTTTTTTAAGATACTTTTGTTTGGAAAACTCAATCTAGAAGAGTTGGGCTGACAAAAATGATAAAATAGGATATAGTAACAACCTGGTTACTACAGGATAAGTTTTCTTTTTTTTTTGTTTGATTATTTGTTTTATTTTGCAATACATTTTCTACAAAGCCACTATCAAGTTTGTTTAAATTCTCATTGGTAGTCAAACAAAAATAACCCTAAGAAACCTAAGATACAACATGCTTGCCCCAGCCATGCCAAGTCAGTGTCCCTGAGAAATCCCCTGAAGGCTACATGGGGTGTCTCACCAATTCAGCAGAGGGCTGAGTCAGATTCTGAACCACTGCCTCAAATAGTATTCAAAGAAATTAGATAAAGTGACCTATGAAGTCACTGTATCCACCCCCATCTCAGGAAATCTTGGTCCCAAAAAATAATCACCAGTTTTTTGTCCTGTCCAACTATAAACAGGATAGACCATTCACCAAAGCCCAAGAAGACTATTTCACCTGAGGTTTTAATATATAAGGAAATGGTAATAATAAACTCCAATTTTCCAAAGATTTACTAAATTATTACTCTTACCTATCATCTTTTTCCCTGGCTTAAAAAAAAAAATTGTTTTCCTCACTGGAGCACTACCCTTTGGATAATTAATTAGTTATAGCTTACTATTCAGTCCTTGTCTAAAATTACAATGTGTGAAAGAGTCATATAACTAGATCCTTTGACTACTATTATCATTACCTACTCTCATGCCCATCCACCACAACATATGGTGTTTAAATATACACTGTGCTTTTATTTTATTATATTTTTTAAGAATAGACATGTTCACTTAAAGGCAATGGAAGAAATACATTCAGGTTAACAGTATCCTATCTTCTTCAAAACTCCCTAAGGTTTCAAGAGATTAGTCTCTTTTCTGGTCTTATACACTGCTGTAAAAAGACTGCTTCATAGCTCTAGCACAATTAGAAAAAATGGAAACAATGTGACATGACCTTGGCAGGCATACATTTTCATTTAATATGACACGATAATTACTTTTTTCCTAAAAGTCGACTACGACTATCAGTATTCAGTCAAAACTTACTTACTTCCAATTCTTTAATTTTTTCTTCTGCTATCTTCTGTTTCTCTAACAGCTGATTATGAATTGCCTCCTTGGATTGAAGAATAAACCTACAAAGCACAAAAAAGTTGAAGATTAAGCCACTTGACTACTATGTTCATCAAAATCAACAACTATATGCCACAAATATTAAACTAAGAAAACTAGAAGGATGATCTCCAATTGAGAACAAATAAAATGTATTACTATGTTATGACAAACTCAGGAAACCTCCACAGGTTGAAGCCTTCTTGGCTGAGAAGGAATAAAAGCTTAAAAGTAAATTGTGCCTTCTGGTCTTAAGAAGGGAATTGGGCTTCAAGTATATTCATAGACAAAAGGGAAAAAAAAACATAAAGGGATAAAAATCTACTGTAGGCTAGAAGAAAAGCTAACAAACAATAAAAATCCCCCGTAACTTTAATTTTTCAGTTTCCTGTATCAACTTTTATCTAGATATCTTTCAAACAATATTTGTAAATTACAGCTCCTCCTCCAACCTTTAAAAAAAAATTTTGTAACAGCAGTAACTCATGACCTTTTAAAGTCACAATCAAGTACTGTGTTAGGATCAATGCATTAGTGTTTATATGAGTTCCTCACACAAAAAGCGCTGTATAAGGCCCAGTATCTTTTATTATTATATCCAGAGTGTATAATACCTCTGAAAAACTCAAAATGCACAAGTGGAAATTTTCAACATTTTCCATTTTCCATTCAGGCACATTATTTACAGTTGATGAGGGTGGAAATATGTGGAAACTTTAAAAGTTAATACTGAGGGGCTTCCCTGGTGGCACAGTGGTTGAGAGTCCGCCTGCCGATGCAGGGGACACGGGTTCGTGCCCTGGTCTGGGAAGATCCCACATGCCGCGGAGCGGCTAGGCCCGTGAGCCATGGCCGCTGAGCCTGCGCGTCCGGAGCCTGTGCTCCGCAACGGGAGAGGCCACAACAAGTGAGAGGCCCACGTGCCAAAAAAAAAAAAAAAAAAAAGTTAATACTGAATCTGTTTTGTGACTTTAGGTTCATAATTCTTGCTGTGGGCAAAGGAAGAGCAAACTATTTTATAGACTAAAGCAAGTAAATTGAAATATTTCCCTTCCACTGGAAGCAAGGGAAAATCTCAATTACTCAAATCTCTTTCAGGACTGTCCAACTGGGTTATAACAGATTCCAAAAAAGAACAACAACAAAAAATACAATTAATTAAGCAGACTGTTTCTTCTCTTTGAACATAACTTAGAGTTTAGCAAAAAACTAAACATCATCTCTTAACAAAAAAGCCAAACAAGAAACATATAAAGTTAGTGATATGTGGTTTTTTCTACCAATTTCACAAAAACAACACTGCGTCTAGGTAGGTTCCTACTGTTAGGGTATGTTATTATAGATAAAAACAACAAAAAGGGCAACTAGCTTTGCCCAGACACCTGGGAGGAAACTATTTTTCTCTCCTCTTCATGAATACACCTTGGCATACATATAATACAGTCTGGTGAACCTCTCTCTTTTTTTTCCTTAATTTATTTTATTTATTTATTTTTGGCTGCACTGAGTCTTCGTTGCTGTGTGCGGGCTTTCTCTAGTTGCAGCAAGCGGGGGCCACTCTTCGTTGCAGTGCGTGGGCCTCTGATTGCAGTGGCTTCTCTTGTTGCGGAGCACAGGCTCTAGGCATGCGTGCTTCAGTAGTTGTGGCTCACGGGATCTAGAGCGCAGGCTCAGTAGTTGTGGCGCACAGGCTTAGTTGCTCCGTGGCATGTGGGATCTTCCCGGACCAGGGCTCAAACCCGTGTCCCCTGCACTGGCAGGTGGATTCTTAACCACTGCACCACGAGGGAAGCCCCTGGTGAACTCCTCTTTCACTCCACAAATTATTAAGCATGTGTCCTGACATGGACAGTCCAGATAATTTAATAGATGATCCCAGTCTTCAGTACTAACTTGATCCTTTGCAAAAATCTTACTCATACATTTAATGCTAAGATAGACCACATTCATGCAAAATAAGGATTACTACATAACCTTTTGTGTTCAAAATATTCTTATTATTAGTCCAAGAGATAGGTGTTATTTCTGAAAAGACTACGGTTTACATAATATTTTTCTCAGAACTAACTATTTAGTGTAGTATTTAAGGAGAAGAGTTGTTTTGAACTGTAATAAGTCTCAGTGACACCATATAAAAAGTATTATAAATCTAGGCCCAAGAGTCACCAAACTATGTCATTACATGCACGATTTTACTAACAAAGTCCTTTGGCCATGGAAATAATTATCAGAGTAAAATATACATTTTTAAATAGCACTGATTGCTGGCCAGTGAATAGTATTCTCAAATAATAGGTCATCAGACATTATCTTTATTAGTGTCTGGGAAATTGTCAAAGCTAAGATTAGAGGTCAAGTCATTACTTATGTGGTCTTTAAAAATAAAGTATCTGGGCTTCCCTGGTGGCGCAGTGCTTGAGAGTCCGCCTGCCGATGCAGGAGACGCGGGTTCGTGCCCCGTTTCGGGAAGATCCCACATGCCGCGGAGCGGCTGGGCCCGTGAGCCATGGCCACTGAGCCTGCGCGTCCGGAGCCTGTGCTCCGCAAATGGGAGAGGCCACAACAGTGAGAGGCCCGCATAACGCAAGGAAAAAAAAAAATAAAAAAAAATAAAAATAAAAATAAAAATAAAGTATCTGAACAGATACTAAATCCCTTGAGCAGAAAATAAAATTACTAGAAAGCAAGAACACTCAACAACAAAAACATGTTTTTCCATGGCCACACACCCGAGGTATCTATATTGAACTGTTCCAACTTCAAAGGCCAGAGAGATGTCATCGAGGCTGGCCAATCTACAAGCCTGAGGACATCTCAGCCATGAGAGTTTTAAACAAGGATGAGTATGGAGTAAATTCAAATGTCTATCTCAAAGAATAATTACATAGACAAAATTCAAACCAAAAAAAAATACAGAAAATTTAGTCCTCAATTTTTAAAATGCCAAAGATACATTGTATGAGGATTGGAAAGAACCCCCAGAAACATTTGGATTTTTGGAAAAAGTCTTTAGAAAACACCTTTTTCTAGTGTTAAAAGACAATGAATTCTCAGACGTTATTTTGAAGATAAAGGATATATCATGATAATGTAATTATGAGTGGTACATGATAAGTAAGTATTATGTACACTATTTCTCAAAGTAGAGACTCTCACAGACATCCTGCCTGATAGTTTATGGAAAGCCAAATGGTAGACAAAGGATTCCACAGTTCAGAATGCCACAAAGGAAAACTAAAGCATGAAATGAAAAATTATTTTCATATAACAGATAGGCACAAAACATGCTTATTAATACTCAGCATCATATAATCTACAATAGTCACTGCTTTGTATTGATAAAAGGCCTCTACATTGGAAATCAATGCCATGTGACTCTGCACTGTAAACTATCAAGGATATGTAGCCTGCTGTTTCAGTTCCTCATTTATTTCTAATTATGCCATCTGAAAAACATAACTTATGATGGCTTTTGGTTTTCTTTATTTGAGAAACATCAGAAGCTGTGTTCTGAACTCTCCTGCAGGCTGATACATAACTTCTATTTTCTAATGATTCAGCATATATAAAAAGTGTTGTTCACCTGCAAAAACACAATCTAGGATCAGTGGCAATGCTGTTTTTGGGTACACTTCCAAAGTATGGTAACCTGAACATAGATTATTCAGAAACAACAATGTGCTTATGATAATGCATTTTGTTTGGGTGGGAAATTTTTAGAATATGAAAACATATTCTAGTGGCATGTAAAGAATCTGCAAATTAAGTAGCACACAAAAGGCTACATAAAAATGATCATATCTTGCTCCTCTGCCTCACTCCACTGGTGATGAAAACTACTTGCATGTGTGCACAAAGATCAACATGCAAAAAAATTTTTTACTTCATAATTTTTTAGCAAAACAAAAACAAACAAAAACCTAAATCCCTCAGTAAAGAAGCAATTAAAATTTATGCCACATCCATATTGTGAAAGGTTGAGTAAGACTTCTATTATTGGCATTATGCAGAGCAGACATCCAGAACAATGCAAAAAAAAAAAACCTCTTTAACATTTTGCTGAGCAACCACAAATTAAAGATTTCAGAGTATGGAGAAAAGGGAACCCTCGTGTACTGTTCGTGGGGATGTAAATTGGTGCAGCCACTATGGAAAACAGTATAGAGATTCCTCAAAAATTAAAAATAGGGCTTCACTGGTGGCACAGTGGTTGAGAGTCCGCCTGCCGATACAGGGGACGCGGGTTCGTGCCCTGGTCCGGGAGGATCCCACATGCTGCAGAGCGGCTGGGCCCGTGGGCCATGGCCACTGAGCCTGCACATTCGGAGCCTGTGCTACGCGGTGGGAGAGGCCACAGCAGTGAGAGGCCCACGTATCACACACAAAAAAAATTAAAAATAGAACTACCATATATGATCCAGCAATTCCACTCCTGGGCATTTATCCAAAGAAAACGAAAACACAAATTAGAAAAGATATATTCACCCATATGTTCACTGCACCATTATTTATAATAGCCAGGATATGGAAGCAACCTAAGTAACCATCAACAGATGAATGGATAAAGAAGATGTAAGATGTATATACATATATAAACACACACACACATATACATATACATGATGAAATATTACTCAACCATAAAAAGAATGAAATCTTCCCATATGTGACAACATGAATGGAACCAGAGGGTGTTATGCTAAGTGAAATTAGTCAAAGAAAGACGAATACTGTATAATTTCACTTATATGTGGAATCTAAAAAATAAATTAGGGACTTCCCTGGTGGCACAGTGGTTAAGAATCCACTTGCCAATGCAGGGGACATGGGTTTGATCCCTGGTCCAGGAAGATCCCACATGCCGTGGAGCAACTAAGCCCATGCGCCACAACTACTGAGCCTGCGCTTTAGAGCCCATGCTCCACGAGAAGCCACCACAAAGAGAAGCCCACGCACTGCAATGAAGAGTAGCCCCCATTCACTGCAACTAGAGAAAGCCTGCCAGCAACAAAGACCCAACACA